GCGGTGGAGGAAGCAGCGGCGGCCCCGGCACGGGCACCAGCTTCCCGCCGCCTGGAGTCAAGCTGGGCCGTGAGTACTGGTGGGGGCCGTGGAGGGGGAGATTGGGGTTTCTGGGATCCCTCAAATGTCAATCGTTTTTTTTCTTCTTCTTCTTCATATGCCCAGATAAGCCTCTGAGGTCATTGTGCCTCTCAAAACCGGAGCTTCAGCTTTCTCCCTCCCAGAGACATGGATTTGGGGGTCACTATCACTTGGGAGCGTAGGATCAGAATTATAACCCCCAGAGAAATTAGCCCTCGTCTGTGTTCTTCCATAATCTGTCTTGCGTCCCTGAGCCTCTGAAGCAGGGTTTTGTCGTGCCATTCTTTAAAGAACAGCGTCTGGGGTCACTGGTTCGTAAATGGGGGTCTAAGAAGACAAGGACCGCCGTCCTCTGAAAGGGGGGTCTGAATGTACTGCCTTTGAGCGTGGGGATTTGGATTCCGCATCTTGGTGACAGGGACTCGGGGTGCTGTGCCCTGAAGAACAGCGTTTTCTAAACCTGGTCACCAGGTTTTACAACCACGGCCCCCGTGCCGTCACTGGCCCAAAGTATGTAAAACTGCATCCCTAACGGAAGGCAAGATTGGTTATTGTGCCTTAGAAATAGGACACGTTTCACCAGCCCCTTGGATGCCACCGTGACTGTTATTTAAAGAAGGTGGGTTGGTGGGCAGTGCTTCACAGAAGTAGAATGAGGTGGAGGGTGGGCACAGTCCTTGTAGAATACGGATCAGAAGTGATCATTCTCTTGGTTACCCAGGGGCAAGATGTCCGAGGCTCAGAGAAAAGTGATGTAAGGTTATCTCCCCTTAAAAAGAGAGTCAGATGTTTCTCAGCCCTTAGGTGGATTGGGGCTATCAGTTCTCAAAAGAGGCGTCTCTGTTCCCTAAGACTGGCTCCAAAGTTGGGTGCAGAACAGAGGCAGAGCTACCCTCTAGGTCTAATACAACAGGTGAAGTTCACGATTTGTTGCTTGTCTATTAGGAAGGAGTCTGGGACCCGGGACCTCTCAGATAAGGTCAGGTCAGTGCCTTCTCTAGTCCCAAATATTGGAGTCGGAGGTCACAGCTCAAAATGTGAGGGGCAGGGCACTGCCACTTGTAGCAGGAGAGGCCATTCATTTCTGTCACCCAGAACGAGAAGGGAAGTTGCCAGCTCCCCTAAGGCAGCCCCTAGCCCCCAAGCTGTGAGCAACCAGAAGTTAAAATGGTATCTCCCCTAAGTGGAAGAGGTCAGAGGCCAGTAATCCCAGAGCCAGTGAGTTCAACCAAGATGTATTACCATCCCTTGAAGTGGCCAGAGGTTCAGGTGTCAACATTCCCTCCAGAAGGAGGCAGGTTGGGAGGTTTCTTGATGGGCAAAAGGCAGGTAGGTCGCTCGGGGGGTGGGGCTTCAGCAACCACCTTTCCTTAGGGGGGTGGGAACAAAGAGGCCCCTCCTCCCATCAGCCCCAGGATGGGGTGATCATGTCCCCCCTTTGCCCCCCAGGTGACAGCGGGAAAGTGACCACAGTAGTAGCCACCCTAGGCCAGGGCCCAGAGCGCTCCCAGGAGGTGGCTTACACAGACATCAAGGTGATTGGCAATGGCTCTTTTGGGGTCGTGTACCAGGCAAGACTGGCTGAGACCGGGGAGCTGGTGGCCATCAAGAAGGTTCTCCAGGACAAGAGGTTCAAGGTACCTTGCGGGGAAATGGGAAAAGGGAGGTGTGAGAGAGCCCAGTGGGAGACTCCCAGCCCTAGCAAGAGAAATGGAGCCTGGAATGTCAGAGGGGCCTTGGCCAGGGTCCACTGGAGAACAGGCTGTAGAAGGGAGCGGGCACAGGGGGAGATGGGAACTGTGGGATATGGGCACTCTCAGAGCTGACACATGCAAAGCAGCTGTCCTGGGTAAGTGGTCTGCCTAGTGCAAAGGGGTTGCACACGGAGAGGTTGGGGCTGCACTCAAACTGAAGAGCAGAGTCCTCAGCCCTAAAAAGAGCAGCCAAGAGAAACCCACAGGCGCTCAGCTAATTTCCATACCCATCTCTGAGGGTGGGCAATATTGTCACTCCCTTAGCGCCAGGCCGAATGCTTGGTGCCCACTGCCACCTAGGCCATTCCGACCCCCAGCGACCCTGTGTAGGGTTTCCCAGACTGCTAGTTCTTTATGCGAGCAGAAAGGCCGCCTAGTTCACCCAAGGAGCGGCTGGGGGTTTGAACTGCTGGCATTGTGGTTGGTTAGCAGCCCAACTCGTAACCCGCCGCACCACTAGGGCTCCTTCCCGTACTAAGGAGGCAGAAATTGAGACTTGCCCGAGCTAATACCGTTTAAGAGCCCTAAGTTAGGACTGCACTGTGACCTGGCCCAGTCCCAGGCACTGCACCTTCCCCTCCAATGTCTTCTTGGGCACAGGAAACTGACAGCCCACCAAGCTCGCCTCAGCCCCTGTGCTGCATACGTGTGCTCTACTCAGCACACCGGCCCCTTGTAGGTGGGCTCCGGGATCCCTGGAGGGGTGCCCTTGTAGACCCAGGGAACTAGACGTTAGAAGGAGAAGACTGACTGGTGTTTGAAGACCTGGCATTTAGAGACCCGAGTCTGGTCTTGATGGAGACCTAAGGCCAGCCTGGAAGGAGAGTGCGGTCCAGGCCTGGGTTGGGGTGGGGGCCAGAGTGTCCATCAGAATTTGACTGGAATGGAGCCCCAGAAATGAGGGATCTGGAGGCATGGCGCTTCGAGATCCACCCTGGGGGTGAGCAAGAGAGTGATGAAGGCTAAAACGACCTTTCTGGCAGGGGGGTTGAGGACCGGGAGTTGGAGGGCTGGGATTTGTGATCCAAATGAGAGGGGGTTACGGTGGGAACCAAATGACTACCCTCTAGGACCTGCCTCTTGTACCACCGAGGGAGCAGGTCCACGTGGCCAGGGCTTCTGGTTTCCCAAGGGAGGTGAATCACCCAGATTTATACGTGGCTTTTTCTTTTCCCCCATTTTCAAATGTCCACAATACATTGACTTTTCCTTTTTTTTTTTTTTTTCCTTTTTTTTAAAGAGGCCCAAGAGACCCGCTATGAAGTGGTCTATGTTTGGCCCCCAGGCCTCCGGCTTGATTGTAAGGGGAAGGAGTGGGGCCGACAAGGGAGGGACTGCCCAGGGCCTCAGACCGGGGCTAGAGTGGGGCTCTGGGGAGGTGGAGGTGGGGCAGGGACCGGGGCCTGAGGCTCTCCCCTCGCTCACCCCTCCAGAACCGGGAGCTGCAGATTATGCGGAAGCTGGACCACTGCAACATTGTCAGGCTGCGCTACTTCTTCTACTCCAGTGGGGAGAAGGTGAGGTGTGGGGGTCACCGCCGCCCAGTGCGCTGCCTGCCTGGGCCCCAGCAGCCAGTTCTTTCCCCCACCGCACCCCACAAACCTTCTTTCCCCTTCCCTGACCCCACAGAAAGATGAGCTTTACCTCAACCTGGTGCTGGAGTATGTGCCCGAGACCGTGTACCGGGTGGCCCGCCACTTCACCAAGGCCAAGTTGACCATCCCTGTCATCTATGTCAAGGTGGGCACGCGCTGGGCCTCCTCCCTTCTGTGGATTTTCTCCTCCGCCAAGCTTGTGTGGGTCCACTGGCCTCGGGGGGCCAGAGTTCAGGTCCTTAGGCCTTGGCAGAGGTGGGTGGGGACGGAGAGAGGGTGAAGAAGGGTTCTGGGCCCCCAGAGCCAGGCCTCCATCTCCATTGGTCATCTCTACAGTCTCACTTTTGGTCGCCCTGGTGTGTGAAGGATTGAATGAATGGCCCCAGGCCGGATGAGCTGCATGTTTATTTGGTGTGTGTGTGGGGGTGGGTGTGGGTGAGGAGGAAGGTGGGTTTCCAGCTGCTGCTCCCAGCGTTTCAGTCCCCTGCACTGGGGTGAGCCAAGGTGGGCTCTCCCAGGGGTGTGGCTGGCTGGCGGCCTGTCGAGGACCTGGCAGTGTTGCCCCTGACTAGGCGTTTGGAGGGCTAGGTAGAAGGACAGGAACCATCTAGCACCCACTGGGAGTCCAGGGAATTAGGTAAACAGGAGACACCCGGCCACCTGGCTTGAATGGGGGTGAGAAGGATGAGGAGGGCTTCCAGAGGAGGTAGGGTACGTGGCAGGAGCCAGCACTTGGCTGAGGGGACCAGCGACAGAGGAGGAGGGACTTGGGAGGCAACCCAGTGGGTGGTGGAGAAACACTCCCGAAGGGGCTTCCAGAAATTCTGGGGAGATAAGTTGTCAAGGGGGGGGGGCGGTGCTGTGGGGAGAGCCGCTAGAGCCTGCTGTCCTCACCCAGGTGTACATGTACCAACTCTTCCGGAGCCTGGCCTACATCCACTCCCAGGGCGTGTGTCACCGCGACATCAAACCCCAGAACCTGCTGGTGGACCCCGACACCGCCGTCCTCAAGCTCTGTGACTTTGGCAGGTGGGCCTAACCTCGGGCATGCTGGCTGGCTGGAGGGATGGGTGTGGGAGGGGACCCCCATCCCTTGCTGGGGTTCACCCTCGCTCTCCTCTCCCAACAGCGCCAAGCAGCTGGTCCGGGGAGAGCCCAACGTCTCTTACATCTGCTCTCGCTACTACCGGGCCCCTGAGCTCATCTTCGGAGCCACGGATTACACCTCGTCCATTGGTCAGTGTAGTTGGTGTGCGTGCGTGCGTGGCCTGTCTGCCTGCTGCACCCCACGTGCAGAGGCCAAAGCGTAACTGAGGGGGCAGGTGATGGCTTGTTCTACGCTGTGCAGTGTTTCGGGCCACTGTCCTATGGTCACCTGTGGGGCCAAGTTGGGAGGAGAAGCTGACCAGCCTCAGGGATCTTTGGGGCCACCCTCTCTCCTCAGCACAAAGGGGTGGGGGAGGGAGGCTGCACCAGCTTCCCTCGTGACCTGCTGAAGGGCGCGAACAGCAGGGGACAGGGTGTGAGAGGGCTCAGGGAGCATGTTCCCCAGCAGTGTGAGGAATGAGAAAAGCAGTTTGGGATGTGGAGCTCCACCTGCCTGTAGCCTAGAGTAGGTGCCCCCGGCCCGGGGGCAGACAGGGCCAGGACAGTCAGTCTGCTAGGGTGACAGGCGGAGCAAGAGGCCCCTGAACCAGGGGATGAGGGTGCAGGGGTTGTGGTTGGGGCGCCATAGTCAGACTGTGAGCTGAGATGCTGCCCCCTCTCTGAGCCCAGCGCAGGGTTCCTGACACCTCCCCCTCTTGTCCCCTCAGATGTGTGGTCAGCAGGCTGTGTGCTGGCCGAGCTCCTTCTGGGCCAACCCATCTTTCCTGGGGACAGTGGGGTGGACCAGCTGGTGGAGATCATCAAGGTAAGGGTTGGGGCAGTCTGGGGGGCAGGGGGCAGGGGTCGGCCACAGAGACCCTGCTCATCTCATCTCCAACCTTGCTCTGCCGCAACAGGTGCTGGGAACACCAACCCGGGAACAGATCCGAGAGATGAACCCCAACTACACAGAGTTTAAGTTCCCCCAGATTAAAGCCCATCCCTGGACAAAGGTGAGGCACTCCTGAGTCTCGGCTCGGGAAGATTTGCCGTTTCTCCGGGAGTAGGGCAGGGGCCGACTTGAGATTGTGGTCGCCACAGACTTTGGGGTTGGTGCCCAGACTCTGAGTTACGTAGAAGGGCCTGCGGGTCCCAGAACGTAGGCTAACCGCTGCTCACCGGATACAAACTCACCTCCCCTCAGGTCACCAAGACGGGTTTTCTAGTGCCGTCTCTCACCCAGGGGACCCCATCTGTGTGTATGCCCCCCCCCCCCAGGTGTTCAAATCTCGAACGCCGCCTGAGGCCATCGCGCTCTGCTCGAGCTTGCTGGAGTACACACCGTCCTCCCGCCTCTCCCCGCTCGAGGCCTGCGCCCACAGCTTCTTTGATGAACTGCGATGTCCCGGAACCCAGCTCCCCAACAACCGCCCACTACCCCCACTCTTCAACTTCAGCCCTGGCGGTGAGCACGGCCTGGAGTGGGGAGCCGGGGCGGGGCAGTGTAAGGGGAGTCGCTGGAAGTCAGGGCGAGCTGAGCCAGCTGCAGCAGCACCAGGCTGCAATCAGTCTGTCCTATGCTGGGCGCTGGCTCACCAACAACTGGCCCTGCCCACGATGTCCCCATTGGGTGTCCCTTCCAACAGTCCTGCCTCTCCCCCCAACGGGCCTATCTGTTTCTGTTTCTAGAACTCTCCATCCAACCATCTCTCAATGCCATTCTCATCCCTCCTCACCTGAGACCCCCTGCTGGCTCGGCTGCCCTCAGTTCCTCCTCACAAGGTCAGCTGGGGCTCTGGAGGGGTGGGGCGGCCTTCGGGCTTAGTCCCTACAGGGATTCCTTTAGTGCGTGACACACAAGCTCAGGTGTCCGAGTGGCGTGCACCAGTGCGGTCTTTTCAGCCTGACGATAGGCCAGTGGTCACCTCCATCAGGTGTCATTGGCAGCACGTGGGTCAGAGGTGCAAACTGGGAAACCAAAGAGAGACACTGTTCTGCCCAGACAGACAAAAAGGTGGATTTTAAATAGCCACATTTAAAAGTTAAGGCCTTTTACTTTCAAAGTCTCGGTTTCCTGTTGCTCGGGGAAGAAAATCCACACGGGCAGCAATAGGCCCCTCCCTTAAGACAGCACTTGGTGGGCATGGGGCTCCCCAGTGTCGGTCGGTCAGTTACCACCCCGGCCCCTTGCCACTGGAGGTGACACAGCTTCGCCTTCCCGCCCTGCTAACGGCCCCCTTCCTTCCCTCCTCTAGCTTTAGGTGAGCCCCGCCTGGGCTCCGAGCGGCAGGCTACTGATGCCACAGCCACCCTCAGCAGTTCTTCCTGAGGGCCTCGCCAGCCACCCTCGGTCGGGGTGCCCCCAGGGGGGCTGGGCCAGGGCCCACAGCCCACCATGCTCCTCCTGCCCTGGTTGGGCCCCTTGCTGATGCCGAGGAGGCAGAGTCCCTGGCCCCACCTCGTCCTTCCCTCACCAGCTGCACCCCTGCGGGGGGGCTTTTTAAGAGGATTTTAACTGGTTGTGGGGAGGGAAGAGAAGGAAGGATGGATGGGGCTGGGGGCTTGAGGACCTCCTACCCTCTCAGCCCCTCCCGTGCCCCCAGGTCTCCACCTCCCCCAACCCTCCCCCACTTCCCCAGGTCCCTTGTAAATAGAACCAGACCAACCCCCAGCTCCCACCCTTCCCTGGCCCCCAGGTGTAAATAGATTGTTATAATTTTTTTCTTAAAAGAGAACATTGATTCGCACCATCCAACCTGCCCCCCTCCCACTGTGCCCCCTTCTGTCTTCTGCCCCCAAGGTCTCCTTACCCCTCGGCGACAGGGGAGTGGGGAGAGCTCCCGAGTGTTCCTTCCCGCTGTAAGGTTTGCCTGTGTACAGACCTCGTTCAATAAATTATTGGCATGGAAACCTGCTTCTGCTTTGGTGGCCTGTCTGTGCCCAGGTGCCCGGGGTGGGGACCGAGGGGCTGCGGCAGATCTGAGCAATCAGCTCACAGGGAAGCAGGACCAGCCTGGCCAAGCTTCCTTGGCAAACTGGGAGGCCACTGCACTATCAAGGTTCATCACTAGGAGGGACCCAGGTGATACGTGAGGGAAAACGGCTCAGAGAGCCCAAGGCCAGAGGTAAGTGTCCCAAAACACACTGCCTTCCGCTGCAGGGTGGGAGGCCAAATGTTGTTCGGTCGTAGACCTGCTGTGGGCACGGCGGCGAAGCTGCACCTGACTGTACTGTACCTACTGTGAACCTTCATTTCCTGCCTTATGCACAGAGCAGCCTGGTCTACCTCAGTCTTCAGGGAGCCAGGCCAGAGCTTGGTTTTGTACTTTGCTCTTAAACATGCTGGGGCCACAAGATGAACACTGGGCTAAGGGCCCAGGTATCTGCTTCATGTGCCAAGTGGGCCCCAGAAGTGGCGGTGCCGAGGGCATGTCCTTTGAGGCGTGTCAACTCGGGTCGCCAGTGTGGACAGCTGCCTGGGGCCGACCTGGTGCCAGCACCACCTCGTCTTAGGGCCTGTGGCCTCCTTCAGACCCTGATGGCCCTCGGTCCCGTGCTTCCCTCCTGGACCATCTCCAGCCTCGCTAGCCCCAGAAGGACCTAATGCCCAGCTATGACCCTGCCACACCCACTCCAATCTCCTAGGCTCCCTCAGAACCAAGTTTGTTAGTCCCACCTTTCAAGGCCTTCCCAGGTCTAGGCCCCTGCCCACCCCCCACCACCCAGCCACATTCCAACCACCCTTGCCTGTGGCATGGGAGGAGCCTGGCCCAGGGACCCAGGGACAACACTGACTTCCAATTAGGGAGGGAGGGAGTGCTGTGACATCCAGTTAGGGTGAAGCCTCCTCTTGATACCTGCCCCTGCGTTGACTCCAGGCCTTACTCAGAAAAATACTGGTTACCTGCACTTGCTGCAGGGCCCCTGCCTTCCAATCCCAGCAGGAGCCTGGGCAAGTCTCTGACCCTCAGCTTCCTCATCTATACAACACTGCCACCACCCAGCTCTCAGACCTGCTGTGGCCATAAGACACAGTGCTAAGTGCAGGCAGCGCTTGTCCACCGTCACACCCCAACCTGCTCTCAACTGACGCACGCGACCGAGCTGATGCATATGAATCTAGCTGTCCAGCCAGGATGCCTCCTCAGAGAGACGAGAACAAGATTTGATTCTCTCAGGCTTTGGACGCTATTCAGAGGGGCCAGTCTCTGGTGACGGACATGTAGCTTGGTTAAGCAGAGGGCCAGCAAATGAAAGACTCAACAAAATGGGTTGACAGTGGCTGCAACGATGGCCTCAGATACAGGAACGCTTGTGAGGGCTGGGCAGGGGGTGGAGTGGTGTGTGTACAAGGCTCACTGAGCAGTAACTGACTCCGGCACCTGACGACGTCTGTACCGAAACAGACCGGCTCTTGTCCACCCAGAGCCCCTGGTCCACCTGGGCTGCTTCACAGCTGCGAAGACCTGCGTGGTCTCGACTCACCACCAACCTGCCCCTTGGGCAGTGCCCTCCACCTGGAAGGCCCTTCCCTTTGCCGCTAACCCTCAGGGACTTCCTCCTCCTCCTTTTAAGTTCTTCCCATCTCAGCTTGGTTCCCGGCCCTGGGCACTCTGACCCCCACACCTGTCTGTTACAGCTCCAAGGACACCAGGGGAGGAAATCTGCTGGCCCCGTGTCACCCAACCCCAAGGTGGGTGGCCCTGGAACACGCTGCTGCTTCCTGAGCGAGCGGGGAGCAAGCAAAGCCTGCCTGTTCCAGGGTTGCCATCACGACCCAGGGGGTAGCTGAGTTCCCGCCTCCAGAATTCTCTTCTTCTCACCAGGCAGAACCACACCCTGGGCACCCCGGATCCAGGGAAGGCTGGGGCAGGGGCAAGCCGTGCCCTGGAGCTCCCAGCCCAGCCCTGGAATACTGGTCCTCAGTTACCGTACCTGATACGGCCACGGCTGGGCCCCAGTGCCAGGGAGCCCCGCTTTTGCAATCAGCAGTGACTGGGGCTGTGCTGTCCCCTCAGGCCCAGCCAAGGCACAACAGCAACTGCTCTGAGGGGTTGCTCGGGACGGGGGAGGCAGAGATCAGGGTGGTCCCCAATACCTGGGAGGGGCCGGGTGACCAGCTTTCTCCCCAGAGGCCCCCACGCTCCATGCTGTGGTCAAGCCTGTTTATTGCTGCTCTTGGGCTGCGTCACACAAAGGTCGTCGAGTCCAGCTGCAGCAGCCCGCCCGCCTCGCTGGCCCCCAGGGCAGCCTGGCACAGCTGCAGCGTGGCCTCCAAGGCCAGGGGCTGAGAAGTCTCGATGACGGCGATGGTCTCCCCCAGCTCGGTGCACATGATGGTCTGCTGGGGTTCCGGGGGCAGTGGGACGGCGGGGGATGGCGGCCGGGGCGGTGGCGGGGCGACAGTCCGGCCACGGGCGTGGACCCGCTGGTGCAGGCGCAGGCCAGCCAGGGCTCGAAACCAGCGGCCGCAGGTCCCGCAGTAGTAGGGGCTCTTGTTGTAGAGCCCGGTGAGGGAGAGGCGGGGGGCCCGGGCGAAGGCGACGGGCCGCAGGTGCAGGCGCCGGTGCTGCTGCAGATTGGAGCTCTGCGTGAAGCGCTTGCCACAGTCCAGGCACTGGTAGGGGCGCGCGCCGGTGTGGGTCAGCTGGTGGCGGCTGAGGTTGGCCAGAGAAGCGAAGGTCTTGCCGCATGAGTGGCACTGGAAGGGCCTCTCCCCCGTGTGTGTCCGCAAGTGGTTGCGCACATGAACCAGCTTCTTGAAGCCCTTGCCACACACGCCACAGCGGTGCCGGCGCTCAGGGGGGCCATGGACTGCGCGGCGGTGCCGGGATAGGCGGGAGGCGGAGGCAAAGGACTTGGAGCACTGAGGGCAGGGCAGCTGGGTGGGCGGCGTGGGCGGCAGGGGCGCCGGCTCTGCAGGGGCTGGCTCGGCCGAGGCTACAGGGCTGGGGGCGCCGCTCTTTCCAGCATGGGTGCGCCGGTGGTAGAGGAATTTGGTCATGTTGCTGAAAGTCTTGCCGCAGCGGCAGCGGTGCAGGGGGTTGGCCGTGTGGGCCCGCCGGTGGGCCACCAGGGTGAGCTCCGTGCCGAAGCCACGGCCGCAGTCCACGCAGAGGTAGCGGGCCTCGCCACGGTGCAGCTGCAGGTGCTGCTCCAGGGAGGCGGCCTTCTTGAAGACCTTGGAGCAGGTGGCGCACTCATGGGTGCCCCCCACGTGGGCCCGTCCGTGGGCCAGCAGCCGGTTGGCCGAGCTGAAGCTGCGCTGGCACTGGCTGCAGTGAAAGGGGTGGGCGGCTGCCACCGGGCCTCGAGACGCCCGCTGGTGGCGTGGGTGGGTCCCTGTGGAGGGCCAGTGCTGGGGACAGTCCCCACGGCCCTGGGCCTGGCTGGCTGTGCAGTCGGCACCTCCCATAGCATCCTCGCCCTGCTGGGCCGCCATCACCCCTTCCTCCTCTGTCTCCTCTTCATCTTCGTCGTCGCCCCCCTCCTCTTCCAGCCCGTTGTGCTCCTCCTTATCCAGGGAGTCAAAGTGGGTGCCCTGGTGCTCCAAGAACTCCTCCGGAGTGGCGCAGAGGGTGGAGCACTCGGGGCACTCATAGGGCTCCATCTTGACCTCGGGTGTCGGTGGCAGAGGGGCCGTAGACAGCGGGGCCCCGGGAAGTGAGGGTGCCAGTGCTGGAGGCTCAGCGGCGACGGTGGGGGTGAGGTGCTGGGCCTTGCGATGGGCCACCCACAGCTCAGGCGAGGGGAACAGCTCCTGGCAATCCCCACACTGGTACTGGATCTGGCTTGCAGACTCTCGGAGGTGGGCATCCTGGTGGGCCAGAAGCTCGCCAGGGGAGAGGATGAGCTGGCTGCACTCGCCGCACTGGAAGGGCCCCTCCTCAGTGCCCGGCCCCAGGCCCGCATCCGGGGCGCTCAGCGCGGCCGCCTCCTCCTCCTCTAGGACGGCTGGGGGCCCGTGCTGCTCCTGGTGCGCAAGAACCCCCTCGAGGGTGTCATAGAGGCTGCCACACTCGGAGCACATGAACTGGTGGTGCTGGAAGAAGAGGGATGAGGCCAAGGCCTCCCCGGCTGTCATCTCCGTCACCTCCCCCGTCACGGCCGTCAGCTCCTCTGCCATCGGCGTGGGCATCTCCACCACCTCGGGCGACGCCTGTGCCAGCATCTCGGCCACCACCTCCGCCATGGCCGGGAAGGAAGGCAGTGCCTGAGGAAAGGACAGAAACCGGTGAGGGAGCAGAACCCCAAAGGGAAGGGGGAGCCCCGAGAGCCCTCAGAACCCAGGGCCTCAGTCTTGGACAACCTTGACCCCTCGCTGCGTCACATGCCCCGTGGCAGCTGGGTGTCTGCAGGAGGCAGGAGCTCCCTTCAGTCTGGCCCCTGGTGCTGCCGGGGGGTGACGATGGTCACATCCTTTCTGCTGAGACATCCCGCCCTGTTGGGCCCTTTGACTTTGGCCCATGCAGTCTACTCTCGGTGTAGGACTTCTCCCTCTCCTTCCTTGTGCAGAGGTACTGGAACTAGACCGCCTGAACTTGAACCTGACCTCTCCCACTCACTTCCTCGCTGGGAGTTTCCTCAATCATGAATGGGGGCTGAAAGGAGTACTGACAACAACGTCCCTGGACCTTGGTAGATGTTCGCGATTAGGGATAATTTGCAGTTTCCCAGAGATGTATTTGGACCTGAAGGCTGAGGTTCAGCCTGTCGACAGTGTTCTCTCCTCTTTTTCGCGTGGCAGACTCGCACACAGCATCTTCTTTGGGAAGGGCCCTCTGACATGTCTGTAACTTCAAGGGGGAGCGACCACTACTCCTCGGGTTGCCTATGGTACAGGCACCCCCACGTCCCCCTTCATGGGAAATAGCACCGTCTGCACTCCTTGGTAGACTGGGCGTTCACAGGCAGGGTCCTCTGTTTTTCTGTGGGCGTTCCCTGCAACCAACACAATCCCTAACTAGTGACAGAGGCCTTTAGCTTTCAAACTCCTCTCTGTAGCCCACCTCTCTTCACACACAGCAGGGGCCTCTCAGAACACCCTCCCCACCCAGCCCTGAGAGCTAATCTGGATCCAGCTCTAACCTTCAACTCTTCTTTCACTAGTGCCAAAAGGCACGTGGAAACCAGCTTCCAGCCCCGCTACATAGCAGAGTGAAGGAACCCTGGTGTTGAGGCTGGTTTTGAGCGGACTATTAATCACAAAGTCAGCAGTTCACAGCCACCAGCTGCTCTGCAGGAGAAAGGTAAGGCTTTCTGCTCCCATATAAGGACTGACAGCCTTGGAAGCCCAAGGAGGCAAGTTCTATTCCCTTCCCCACAGGTTGCTATGCGCAGGAGTCAACTCCACAGCACGAAGGGAGAGGACATGCCTGAGTCACTCAGGCAGGCTTTTAGTCTGTTCATCACCAAGGGTTTTCTAGTGCCAAGCACAATGCCTAACACACCAGTGACTGGTTAAATGAAGAATGCCCCTCTAGGAAGGGTGCTGCCAGGCCCTGGACGCTTAACTGTCCTATCCCACATTCCACTGCTCCTATCAGACCTAACTCTTCCGTGAAGACTGAATTACTGCCATTGGCCCAGGGCCCTGCTCTCCAGCTGCTGCCCAATAAATAGATGCCCCCTGAGTACATGATTCACGAAAACCTGGAGTTAAAACTTCCCTTAGCCCCAAGATCCCAACTCCCTCAGGAATCTGTGAGTTGCCACCGCCCTGTAAAGAAGTCATTCAATAAATCATCGTCCTTCAGCAGCCAACCAGGGCCCAGAGAATTCACTTTTGCCTTGTGCACAGCCTGGACTCTCAGCACAGGACTGCCCGCAAGGGCCAGGCCCACTACAGGGCTTGCCAGTAGCCAGTTTCTCATCAATGGCCTGCTAGAAGGTGGTCCAAAGGAGCCCTGGTGGCATAGTGGGTTGGGCTGTGAACCTCAGGACCGGCAGTTTGAAACCCCTAGGTGCTCCTGGAGAGAAAGGTGAGGCTTCCTCCTCCGGTAAAGCGTCTCAGAAACCCCTTGGGGCAGTTCTGAGTCGGCTTCGGCTGGATGGCAGTTTGCTTTTGGTTGGAGAAGGTGGCCCAGCGAGGCCTGAAATTTGGAATTTCTTCATCTCCCCTCCATCCTCTCCCAATGTTGGACTGCGAGTTGCTGGGGGCAGGAGAGAGGGGGCGGGCGTGGAGCTTTTCGATCCGTTGATCAATACAAGTCCTTGCAGGTAAGGGTCCACCAGACGCCTGGAAGTGGAACTTTCCCCCTGCACACCCCTTTCTTCCTCCCAGACTTCTCGCGGCCGGCCACGGGGGCCCAAGCTCAGACGCAGGTTCCGGTAAGCCAGAGGCACTCCACCAAGGCTCGGACCACGCAGGACGGCGCGCTCTCCGGCCAGCCCGCGTCGCTCCCGCCCGCACAGGCCCCGCGGCTCCTCCACCTCCGCAGCCCCGCTTCGAAACGCCCCCTGTGCCCCCAGCGCGCTCTTCCCCAGCCCGCCCGGCGGCGCTCTCACTTGTCTCCCTTACCTCCGGCAGCCCCCCGCCGTTCTTGACACAGCCCCTCTGCCCGAGGCGTGCGAGACCCCTCACTATCTACGCCTCCCATTGGGCGGCGCCTTTGACCGTGGGACCAATCAGAACCGGCAGCGGAGGGCACGCGCCCTCGCGCCTGCGCGCTGGGCTCAGGCGGGGCTCGGCAAGTTCCTCCACGCACGCAACCGTACCCAGGGGAGGGCGGGGCTACGGGACCGAAGACGCGCCTGCGCAGTTCTCCCAAGCCGCTCCCTTCTTGCCCAGTCTGCAAGTTGTGTAGGCAGAAGTGGGCACGTCTGGAGCGCTAGGACACTTACAGTGGATTGGCTGCGGGAGATTTTGAGGGACGAACCATTTTCATAGTTGAAGACGCTGAGATTTCCTGAAAGCACAGTTTTGGAGGCACATGCATTTGGGATATTTGTCCTCCCTGGGCTGTAGCTGAGGAATCCTGAGGTGTAGTGATTTAAGCATTGGGTTGCTAACCAAAAGCAAGGTCAGCAGTTCGAAACTACTAGTTGCTCCACAGGAGAGCAAAGAGACTTCCTGTTCCCATAAAGAATTACAGTCTCGGAAACCCACAGAGACAGTTCTACCCTGCCCTATGGGGTTGCTAACAATGGAAATCAACACCATCGAGGTGAATTTGCTTTGAGTTTGGGCCTCAGCTTTGTGCTGTTAGGGGCCGGCCCATGGAGTCAGTTCTGACTTAGTGGCCTTTCGTATAACAGAACAAAACACTTCCAGGACCTGCGCCATCCTCGTAATTGTTCTTAGGGTATGTGGGAGCCCATTATCACAGCCACTGTCCGTCCATCTGGTTGGGGGCCTAGCTCCATTTTGCTTTACTCGCCTCGAAAAGTTCAACCTTGAATGAATGAGATCACATATATAAAAGCACTAATCACAGGCCCTGGGTGTATCACTGATTTAACATGGGCATTGTTGTTCTTATTGGTAGGTGCTATCTGGTCATCTCTGACTCATAGAGACCCTCTGTACAACAAAAGGAAATAGTGATTAGCCCTGGGCCGTCCTCACAATCGATGTCTGAGCCCATTGTTGCAGCCACTGTGTCAATCCATCTTCTTCAGGGGCTTCCTCGCTCTTTTTTCTTCTTTTTATTTTATTGTTATTTGTTCTTCTTCCTCTCTTTTTTGCTGACCTTCCACCTTACCAAGCATGATGTTCTTTTCCAGGGACTGGACTTTCCTGACAATGGTCAAAGCACATGAGGTAGAGTGTCACTCGCCTCCATCCCAAGGAACACACTGGCCACATTTTTTCTGAGACAGATTTGTCTGTACTTCTGCATGTCCGTGGTACTTTCACTCTTTCAAAAAATTTTTTTAGTTATTTATTGTTTTTTTCGTACTTTCACTCTTGTTTAAGACCATAATTCAAATGCATTGATTCTTCTGTGGTCTTCCTTTCACACACATAGGAGGCAATTGAAAATACAGTGAACCCTCGCCACTTCGGCGCTTCGTCTTCCGCGGCTTCACTCTATCGCAGTTTTTGCGTAACAGCACCCACTGCCTACACCCGCTCCTTCAGAGGAAAAAGACGGCGACCCACCAATAGAGTACATCCCTTAAGTCATTTCATAGGCTATTGATTACAGTATTTGTAAGAACTATGTGTAATACTACTGTATGTGAAATATGTAATACTGTAAACTAGATGCCATAAATAATATAATAAATAATAAATGATAATGGTAACGTCCAAAATGTTTTACTGTATTTTCCCTTTTTCGTTTAATAAATTGGGTAATATGAGTGTAATGGTGACTCAAGGGTGTTTTTTCATGTCCTCTATGCTCTAACTACGAAAATATTTGATTTACAAATAAGGAATCCTACTTCGCGGAATTTCATTTATCACGGTAGGGTCTAGAACCGATTAACCGCGATAAACGAGGGTTCACTGTACCATGACTTGGAGCAGCACACCTTAGTCCTCAAAAGTGACCTCTTTGCACTTCAACACTTAAACGAGGTCCAGTGCAGCAGGTTTTCCCAATGCAATATGTCCTTGGGGAGCCCTAGTGCCTACTGGTTACGAGTTGGGCTGCTAATCACAAGATCAGCAGTTCGAAACCATCAGTTGCTCTAAGGGAGAACGGTGGAACTTTCTACGCCTGCGAAGAGTTGCCATCTCGGAAACTCACAGGGACAGTTTTACCCTGTCCTATAGGGTCGCTGTGAGTCAGTAATGAGTTGTTAGTTGCTGTAATGTCCTGTAATTTTTTTGACTGCTGCTTCCAGGAGCACCGATTTTGGATCCAAGCAAAATGAAATTCTTGACAACTTCAACTTTTTCTCTGTGTATCATGTTTTCTACTGGTCCAGTTGGGAGCATTTGGCTGTCTCTGTTGAGTTGTAATCCATACTGAATATAATCCATCCTTCAGTGTTCAGCAGCAAGTGCTTCAAGTCCTCCTCACTTTCAGCAAGCACAATTGTGTCACCTGCATATGACAGGTTGTTAACAAGCCTTCCTCCAATTCCGATGCTCTCTTCTTAATATAATCCAATTTCTCAGATTATTCTCTCAACATCCAGACTGAGTAAGAATGGCGAAAGGATACGATCCTGATGCACACCGTCTCTGATTTTTTAAAAATCATTTTATTAGGGGCTCATACAATTCTTATCACAATCCATACATACATCAGTTGTGTAAAGCACATTTGTACATTCATTGCCCTGATCATTCTCAAAACATTTGCTCTCCACTTAAGCCCCTGGCATCAGCTCCTTATTTTTTCCCCTACCTCCCTGCTCCCCCTTCTTTCATGAACCCTTGATAATTTATAAATTATTATTTTGTCATATCTTGCACTGTCCGATATCGCCCTTCACCCACATTTGTTGTCCATCCCCCATGGAGGAGATTATATGTAGTTCCTTGTGTTGGGTTCCCCTTTCTCCCTCACCCTCCCGGTATCACCACTCTCACCACTGGTCCTGAAGGGATCATCTGGATTCCCTGTGTTTCCAGTTCCTATCTGTACCAGTGTACATCCTCTGGTCTAGCCAGATTTGTAAGGTAGAATTGGGATCATGATAGTGGGGGGGAGGAAGCAGTTAGGAACTAGAGGAATGTTGTGTGTTTCATCTTTGCTACACTCCACCCTCACTGGCTCTTCTCCCTGCGAACTGCCTCTGATTTTAAACCATGCAGTAATCCCTTGCTCTTTTAGAAAGGCAGTCTCTTGGTCTATGTACAGATTCCACACGAGCAAAGCGAAGTGTTGTGGAATTCTCTTTCTTCTAAATGTTAGTCCCACTTATGATCCACACAGTCGAATTCTTTTGCCTAAGTCAATAAGACAATTTTCCCAATTTGTAAAATTGCTCTCGGTTTTCTCTTCAGTGGCTTGAATAATTGTCATTTTTTAGGAGCCTTCTGTGTATCCGTGTATCCGGTGGGTGATGGTTGCCATTTTTCGGGCTTACAGGTGGGGAATGAGGCCGAGAGAAGGGAAGGGACTCTCCCAGGCTCTCCGCTGCAAGGAACTAAGAGCAAGTGGAAGCAGCCGCAGCATCCAAGCCTCTCATCTCTGGGTTCAGGGATTCCGGGGGTGGGAACCGGTTAGGGGAGGGGACTTGCCGGCAGGTATGTGCTTACTCTGACTTTGAGTCACCAAAGTGGAGGGCAGTAGTGCCGCCACGCCCAAAGGCCCGCCGCTGGGGAGACGCGCAGACACCAGAGCCTGGGCGCCCCTTTGCCCGGACAAGAACGCGTAACTCCGAGGTGCAGGTTAAGGTGTGGGCGTGGCCCGTGTTCAGGGAATTGGATAGATGCTCTCCGGAAGGGTGCGTGCGGGTGCCTATGCCTATTCAAACTCAAACTGCTCTCCGCGCCATTCAGTCCCGACTCATTTTGCAATCCAAGTTGGGTTCAAATGTGTACGGGAGCAGCCAGCCTCACCTTTCCTACGCAAAGAGACCGGTGGGTTTGAACAGCCGGCCGACCTAGGGGCTGTCACCTGGGCGCCTCTTGCGATCAGGGCCATGTAAGGAGGGGGGTGAGGGAGGGAGTCGCAGTTCTTTTTTTCCCTTTTTTTTTTGAGGGTCAGTTCTTGCATTGAGACGGGGCCGGCTAGGCGTCCATCCGGGGAAGGAACGTGCACGTGGCGGTGATCTGTCGTGCTGTGGGCTGTGGGGTTTTCCGTCGCCGCCATGGGAAGGGCGCGGCAGGTCTCTGGTTCGTCTACCGGAGGGACCCGCTGACGGAAGCCGAAGCGATCATCGCTGCGACCCTCAGCAGTGGCCAGCTGGGGCCAGGGGCAGTGTGGGCGAAGGCTGCCCTCAGCAGATGACAATTCACCGCAGGTCGTCCGTCACGCGCGGTGCGAGGGACCAGGCGGGTTCGTGGGCGGGCACTAGCGCCGTGGCCACCCAGCCCCGCCCCCAGCCCCGCGGCGCCGCCGCTCTCGCTCTGCGCAGGCGCAGCTCGGGCTGCGGGAGCGGCTCCGGCAGGGGCGGGGCGGACGGTCGGCGGGGGCGGGGCGTAGAGGGCTCTCTGCGCTTGCGCCCGAGGGGCGTGGCGATCGCACCTGCGCGAGTCGGGGAAGGAGGAGGGGCGAGGTGACGCAGGCGTAATACTAGAGAAGGTGCCAGAAAGATCCAAAACAAGTGGCTGCGGCCGTCGCCCAGGAGTCATCCGACGCCAAAGTCCAGCGAGGACCCGGAGAGGCGACTGGTGGCCGATAGAGGGACTCATTTGTGCACCCGAGAGAGACGGTAATGGCCCTGACGGGGCGAGGGGGTCGGGTTCGGACAGTACCACTTGTGTGGAGCAA